GTACAAAGCTCTGCACAGACTTCAGTTGTGTTTTTCCTTTTTCCTCACCAAGCTGGTGCTTCCACAATTAGGCCCATCTTACAGAGTGAACAAAGCAGAGTGGTCGAGCCCTGTGCTTGACAAGGTCAAAAGTGTAGGAGCCGTGACCTTGACTGACCACACACCCCAGAGCCTCCAGTGAGGGACTTCGCTTTGCCCTTCTCCCCAACGCATAGGCAGGCAGGGTCCACCCCATGACCCACCACAGCCCCTTCTAAAGAGACAGGGATCCTCTGCCTGCCACATCTCCATCTGAGGAAAAACCAGGCTGCCATGGCCTCAGAACCCTCTACTTCTTTGGGGTAAAGGGAACTTGAGGGTCCCTTGGGAATCCAGGAATCAATACCCTGAAGAGAGGTGACCCTCTGGGATCACATAAAACCAGGATTCTGGCCTCCCCATCCAGTTCTCTCTCCTCCACTCTTCCGTGATCTTTAACCTTTAGTGACCCATAACACTTTCGAATCTAGCATCCGATCTATCCACTTTACCTCAACATCTTTGGTGAGATGGGCAGGGAATGTCTTCCCATGCCTGTTACACAGCTGGGAAGACTGAGGCTCGGAGAACTGTGCAGGCCACCAGGTACCCCCCCCCCCCCCCCGGGGGGGGGGGGGGGGGGGGGGGGGGGGGGGGGGGGGGGGGGTGGGACCACCCCCGCCCCCCCCACCCCCCGCCCCAGCCCTGCCCTGTGAGGGAAGCCTACCGTGGTCTGTTCTGGCGCAGGACCCTCTGGAGTCTCACAGGTGTTTTCCAGGTCTTCAATGGGACACCATCGACTTCAGGGCCAGGCCTCCTCTGCTTCCCTCTCTTGCTGAATCTTCTCTGGAGACAGCTCCTCACGCTGCACCCCACTTGACTTCCCGTCAAGTGCCGCGTGGCCCTGAGGCTCCCCCCACTTCCACCCCACCCCCTGGCTGAAGGGCTGGGTGCAACAGGGGCAGAGAACCCCAGGCCCCTGGCCAGACTGTGCCTAACAAGGGCAGGATCTTCAGGGTGGCCAAGGGGGAAAAGTGGGGCTGCGGCTGGGGCTGGGGAGGGGGCGACCCTGTGCCCAATGCCCCTACCCAGTGCTGCGTGGCAAGGCCGCTGGGACCTGAGTCACAACTGACTGGGCCGCACCCAGCCTGCCTGGGTGACCCAGGCCAGCATAAGGCGATGACTGAGCAGCCCTCCGCATGACCGGCCGGGGTCGGCCTTAGGTGTTTTGACTCAGACCTGCCACAAGCCGTGTGCACCAGGGCCATGCCCCTTGTCCCTGTCCCCAGAAGAGTCACAGGGCCGCAGCTGTCCCCCTGGACACAGTGCCCCCCCCAAGCCACCACACGCTTTCCGGACACCCACCTCAGAACCCCGGAGTCACCTGGCCCGTCTGGTTGGCCCTCCTCCACAGGCTCCAGGGCCCCACCTGCCCAACCCACCTCCCTGGGAGACCTTCGCCCCTCCCCGAGCCAGGGAGCAGAGGCCAGCCCTTGGGGCCGCCCCAGGAAGCAGGGAGTGGGGCTGGCCAAGTGGAAGGCCTCTCCAATGCTGACCATGGACTGTGAGCCTTGCCTCAGCATGGAAAAGGTGGTCTGTGTGCACTCTGGGTCCCAGGCCTGGTGTGGAGGGTAGGGGGTGCAGGGGGACAGGGGCACAGAGAGAAAAGCCGTGAAGAGAGCAATAAGGAAAAAGGGAAAATGAGAGAGAGAAAATACAGAGAACGTTGCTTGTGCACCTGCTCAGTAACCGCTTACGATAATGCCGAAATAGCGCAGTGTTTGTGTGGTCTCCTGGGAAATCTGTCACAGCCAGGGCGGTGGGCCAGTTCAGCCCATTGTACAAAGGGGAAAACTGAGGCTCAACCCAGGAGGTCACACGGCTTTGAAGGCAGGGTGGCTGGGGGTTGAACTCATTTTACTTAACTCTCAAGTATTTTCTCATCCTTCGAGAAAGAGGAGGAAAAAAATCGCATTAATAGTGGTGGACAGTGAAGGCCATGGAGGCGAAAAACCCAGCTCTGCCGTTTGCAAGCTGTGTTTGTTTTGTGGATAGGTAGTAAGTGCACCCCATCCCCACCTCTTTCCAGCAGTGTCCCTGCCCTCTGGGACCCCTGTCCTGGGGAACTTTCCATCCTGTGTGTTACATGTAGTTGACTGAAGGTCTGTCACTTTGAAAAACTTGAAAAAGAAGAAGAAAATCTGGCTTCAAGCTGATGCCTGCAACAAGGCCAGGACCCCTTTATCTTCCTGAGCCTTTGTCCCTTCACATAACCACTGGAGAGGAAGCATACACTGTGGGCCCACAGGGTATTGCCACTCCAGGAAAATGTGCCTTGTATAGGATCAGCTCCTTCTGTGGCACAAAAGCATTATTTGGGCCCCTGCCCCACTGCCTGTCACACCAATGATTGTGGGAACCCCAGTCTCACCATCAGAGAAAGCTTATTCTGACTTGAGATGCAGACTCTAGAAATGTCACCCTGCAGGCTCTCTGTAGGCCACCTGTGGCCCCCAGGGAAGCCCCATAAACCCTTCTGGATGGGGAAATCAAGGAGGAGGGGGAATTCGAACTGGGGCTCAGGGCAGAAGGGTAGGAGGCTGAGGCTGGGAATGGAGGGGGGAAGCCCAGGCTTCAGGGAGGTCAGGATGCCTATATGGGTTAGGGAGCCAGCAAAGCATGGCTCGAACACAGACATGAGCGGGCAAAGCTGGCCTGGCATGAGAGCAGGGGCCTGGCATGTTACGATGAGGGGTTTGGAATTGGTACCACAGCAGTAGGACAGGAAGGAGTCTCTGAAGGTTTGGGAGCAGAAGATATGGTGGCAGTGACATTTTTGACCCTGTCCAGGGAGCCAGGACCTGGCTGGCTGTCGGGAGAGCAGGAGGCATGTGCCAGAGATGGGATGTGGGAGAGATCGAGGGACCTTGTGATCAACGGACAGGGGAGAAGCTGAGAGAGGTGACGGTGAGGACTGGGGCTCTGGAACCTCTGTGGGGGCAAATAGGAAGCAGAAATCAGGTGTGGGGTGGAGGTGACTTTGGCCCTGAGGCCTTTGGCACAGGGCTCCTTGCAGAGGTTCCTAGAAGTCGAGTCTGTAGGCTTGGGAGAGCACCAGACTGGAGATGGCAGTTTGGGGGCACCTGCAGCTGTGGTCTCATCAGGATATGACATAGAGATGACAAGTCCTCAAAGGTGGGACCCCTGAAACTCCCTCCCCAGATTCTGGAGCTCCCTGATCTGCTTCCTATGGAGTGGGTGCTGTTCCAGCTCAAAGTCAGATGCCTCTCCTTAGGCTTATCCACAGAATAAGGGGTTGGCAAGGGGCCCAGGCAGGGGTAGGGGGCAGCCACCCTGGGCTTCCCAGCTCTTCCTCCACAGACCAACCTCTGCTCACTCCGTGGGCAACCGCACGCCTGCCGCAGCGCCAGCTCCCCTTCCGCTCCGAGAACCTGAGCGTGCCTGGCTTTCGGCGTCTGCCACCTCCCACCCACAGCTTCCCAGCAACTCAGCCTGAGGAAAGCCCCCCCTCCCCTATGCCGGGGCAGGGCAGAAAAGAGAGAGGCCCGGCCCCCTGCCGTTGGTGGCACCGGGATGGTACCACCCAAGCCAGCCTCTCTGGCATGCTGCTCGCTGAGCTCCTACTGAGTGCAGGCCCTGTGCTGGGTGCTGAGGCGGAGCAAAGGGAAGCAGCTGCTGTCTCCACATTCTTGGCAGCTCTAGGCTAGTGTGGGAGGCAGATGGTAAAGCACCGCAGCAGGCAAGAGCCTCCCAAGAGGACAGTTTTATGAGGACAAATAACCAAGTTGCTGGACCCAGACCATGGGTGGTAGGGAAGAATAGCTGAAGATGCACTGAGCAAAATGACAGGGAACGGTGTTCCAGACAGAGGGAACAGCATAAGCAGAGGCCTCATGGTAGGACAGAGCCCTGGGCATATCGAGAGCCAAAAGGTGGCCTGTGTGGCAGATCCTCAAGAGCAAGGGAGAGCCCAGTGGGAGACGGTGGAAAGCTCTTACTGGGGACTTGGTAGGTCACCTGGAACACATTGGGCATTGCCGAGAAGACTATTGGTTGGGAGTCAGGGTCCGGAGTTCTGTGCTGGAGTTCCCTCTGTGATCTTGAGCAAGATGCTTCCCTTCTCCGGGCCTTTTTGATATAAATCAGTGACGCCCCTGGCTCACTATATGCTGATCCTGGAATGCTTGGAGCCTTTGCCCTAGCTGTTTCTGCCACCTGGGGGCCCCACCCCCTCTCCTGTGCCATTCAGATTTCAGAGTGGATGGAGAGGCTTCACCTCTCCCAGGGCCATGCCTGTTGCCTGAGGTTCTCATTCTATTACATCACCCGATTGATTTCGTTTTGCAGAGCTCATAGCCCAATATTCTGAGTTGGTTCTTCTGCATGTCTATTGCCTGTCTGCCCCCTAGCCTGGGAGTTCTGTGCCCTTAGGGACTCATGACATTGCTGACCAAGTTACAGAGGTTGAAGAGTAACAGAAGATGCTCTGGCATCTAACAGACCTGAATTCAGCATGTGTCCGCCCTCCCAGAAAACGTGTTCTGAGGACATGGGCAGGTAACTCAGTCTCCCTGAGACTCAGTCTTCTTATCTGCAAAGTGGATCTTATCTATTGCAGAGAGTCCTGCCAGGAGCCCTTCAAGAAACAGGTTCAAGCGCACAGCAAGTCACAGGCCATGTCTGAGGCAGGGTCTGTTACTATCTTGTCTATTTCACGTAACACGCATAAGCACACATACCCCCCAGTCACACACCTACAGGGGACCACACACTCCAGCTTTCCTCCCTCCTCTCTTGCTCCCAAACCCTCTAGTCCCTAGCATCTCAAGGGAGTCACATTCAGACACAATAAATGCCCTGTTTGAGACACCCCCACGGTCAGGCCCCCCCGCCCTTCCTCCAAGAGGCTAGATTCCCTCAAATTCTTTCCCACAAGGCAACAGAGAGACACAGGGACTTTAGAAACCAGGCAAGTTTTAAATATATGTTGGCACAATATTAACATTAAATATGTATCATAAATAAGCCTTATAAATAGGAAACAGATAAAAACTGATAAAAATCGATAAATTAATCATATTCCTGCAAAGAATTGGCCCAGCAGCTTCTGGGACTCCCTCGCTTCAGCATGAGAAAATTTCATGATGCACCACCAGGGGGAGGAGCCAGCAGCCAGGACCCAAGACTGGGTACTTCCAGACACTAGGTCTTTACTCCATGTCCATTTGCACTGCATTTGATATCCACTGTATGCCATAGAATCCCAGCTACTGGCAAGCAGAGAGGGCTTTACACGGTCCCAACTCTCTTGAATCACAAAAAGAAAACTGAAGTCCAGAGAGGTAAGGTGGTCTTCCCGAGGCTACACAGTGAGAGGGGTTGAGCTGGCCTTTGAGCCCCACTTTTAGACACCCTACCCCGATCAGCACTCCTTCTAGGACACTCTGCCTGTGTCACAGCTGCCTAAAATGAGGTCACCCAGATGTCCAGGTGTCTGGCCTGAGACTGTCAATGAGGCATAAGAGGCTAGCTCAGGCCCTGACCTCCCCCTCGGAACCATGCCTCCATGGAAAGGAGGAAGTCTGGGGTCAACAGCCCTGCAAGTCATGAGAGGGAAGGGCCGACAGGCCTCTGGGGAGCAGAGCAGGGGGGGCAGTCAGTCTGGCCATGAGTCAGCCTGTGTCATCAGACCCCTGAATCAATGGAAAGTTAGCCCCGCGTGGCCTGACCTGGCCATCCCACCGAGACTGGGGAACTCAGGGCTGGGGGTTAAATGGTCTAACCCTACCCTCCCCGCCTGGAGGAGGTAGAGGGGCCTGCTTGGCTCCCACCCCTTAAAGTGCGCTTCTGGGGGGGGGGGGACAGAGGAGAGCAGGTTTGGAGGCCGGCAGGGATGGGCCATCCTACAGAATACCTGTGAGTCCTTTATCTGTCAGGGGTACCCCTAAGGCTACCGGGGCAACCACCCTCTGGGAATGAGTCTTTTGTTCCTGCTGGAGAGATGCGTCCTGTGCTTCCCCTTCCGCAGGCCCCGGCGGGGGCTGTGTCTCCGGCTCCGACTCGGGCTCTGCCCCCACTCTCGGAATACCTGACCCACTGAGTGCATGAAGCGGTGGTAGCCATGCAGGAACCTGCAGCCCTCCAGCCTGCGCTGAAAGGCGTCTGAGATGGGGGTGGGTGACGGAGAAGCCCCTGGGCCTGTCGGAGTGGGCTCAGTCTTCTCCAAGGAGCCTGGAAGCAGCTGGGCCATGCAGTGGATATTGTTCTTGAACCCGCGAATGTTTAACTTTGCTATATTTAGCTTCTCTAAGTCCTGGGCTTTGGGGATGTCCTTCTGTAAAGTTCTCAGTCTGTGCAGAACGTGGCCCAGTGTGGTGTTAAGGATCTGCAGAAATTCCTGCCTGCTGAGCCGCTGCAGGGCATCTTTGCTGGGGAAGACCCCGGGGCGCTCCCGACAGTGCTTCTTCAGACCATCCTTGTCCAGGCCTTGGATGCTGATCTAGAGGGAAAGGAGAATCAGAGGGTGAGTGCTAGAGCCCCCACCACACACACACACACACACACATACACACACACAATTCTGCTCTGGTCAGCCTTGAAATGCTCAACCTCATGTATCCCATCCAATCCTCCCATCGTACAGATCAGAAACTGAGGCCAAGGAGGAGCAAGGACTCTCCCATCACTGCAGACAGGACAGAAGGATGTTGGGGGGCTGGCGGGTTGAGGTGACTGCACAGGCGGTGATTGTGGTGTGCAGAGTTTGAGTGGGGGTGGGTGGGTAACCTTGAGCTTTTTTAGGAGGACGGGACTCTGTTTTGTTCACTGTTACATCTCTGAGGCCTAGAGCAGGGCACATGGGTAGGTGTACAATGGAGTTGAGGTTTTCACTCCGGCCCACTGAGCTGGGAAAGCTGTAATGTCTCCTTGGCATTTCAGAGGAGTGAAGTGCCAAGGAGTGGAACACTCCAAGGCCTGGAGTGTTCGATGTGGCCCTGGAATAACACAGGGACTTGGTTTCCCCACCTGCCCCATATCGAGTAGGGGTTGGGTGAATGGGAGTCGGGTCTCATCTTCTCTGGGCTCACTGCTGCCCTAGGCCTACTATTCTCTGAAACTCAGATGCCACCAGGGGCCAGGCGCTCACATAGGGGTCCAGGAGCATGCTGGTGTGCTGCATGAAGTCCGCCTGCTTCTGGAGCTGCCCAAGGAGCTCTTGGTAGTTGTCCAAACAGCTGCCCATGGCCGGCATACTCAGGAACAGGAGTCCAAGGACCAGACCTGGGGCAGAGAAGGGGGGTGTCACCTGACTTGGGAAGGCGGGTGGCTTTCAGAGGGGAGGGAACCTAAGAGGGCCTTAGAGGGCACAGCCCATCGTCTCAGGCTTCGTGCCGTCACGGGTGGGGCTGGGCACCGTGTGTGCACAGGAAGGAGCACCTGCTGGGGCCACCACCACCTCCCCCGTGAGGCACTGCCCAGCATCCAAAACAGGGCTGCACTTCACCATGCAGGCCTTTGAGAGGAGGTTTTGGGGCCCAGTTGGACCTCCTGCACTTGCCAATCTTCCCAACCCCAGGATCTGACACACAGCAGCCCAGGTGGGGCTGCTGCCTGCAAGACCTCCGGGTCCCCCCGTAACAGAGCCTGGCCCTCCTTGCAGGTGGGCTTAGCCTGGCAGCAGCCTGGTGCCCTGAGCTATGTCTGTACAAACAAGAGAGCCCCCATTTTACTGACAGGAAAACCAAGGCACTGAAGGAGAAGGGCTCACCCGGGTCACACAAGGCCAGCATTGTCCTCAACCTCTTGCACCCTCCTCTTCTCTCCCTTCATGTCCCACATCTGTCAGGCCCACCAGATACGCCGTGAGCCAGAATGTTCGGGGTGGGAAGAGCATACTTACTGCCGGCCAACCTCCCCACACCCACCCCCCAGGCACCGGCAGCCATGTGGTCGGAAGGGGCCTGTGGCGCAATGGCCCGGAAGGCAGTGACACCATGTTCCCTTCCTAAGAACCGTTCAGCTCCTGGGGAAGCATGAGGGGCTGGCCACCCAGGCACGGCGACCACAGGGCACTCCTCGCCACCTCCTCAGGTATCTGCTGCTGGGCTTGGGCAGGGGAGTCTGTGTGAGCACCACATGCACGTGGGGCTAGGGTGTCTTCATGGGCGTGTGTCCAGGTCTGTGTGAGGTGAAAGGAAGGAGCTGGCCACAAACAAACGTTGTGCCCTGTCCACCGTGGGGGCCCAGGCTGCATGTGGGGGTTCCCAAGTTGGTGAGATTGAGGGCTCTGAATGACATCACACGGCTCTGTGTGCGCGTCATCCTGTGGGTGTGGCTATGTGTGCTGTGTGATTGTGTGGGTTCCAGGGTCCCTGGGCCTGGCTGGCTGTGTGTATCCATTCCAGACCCTGCAAATCAGGGCAAGAAGGAGGCCTCATCACCCCTCCAGACATCACACTGTTTTCCTCTTGGCTTCTGCAGCTTCCTACTCTATCCAGCACGTCTCTCACCTCCCCTCTGCTTCTCTGGCTTCTCCCCTCAATCTATCCCCTTCCCTCACTCTCTTGTTCCCAGAGCTGCCTCTACATCACCTCCCCTTTAGAAGCCTTCTGGGGATAGTCCTTCTCTACCTTGTAAAGATGCTGTGTTCTCAGTGGACCACTTGCTTTGCCTGACCTCCCAGCTCTCCCCCCTTCTCAGCATCCTTCTGGTGCCCAGCCTTTCCAGCTCCCAAAAGACAGAAGGTGCCTCTGCTCCCCGCTGGTGCCCAGGGGCACAGCAAGTGGGTACTGGTGGAGAGGAAGGAAGTACTTACTGAGCAGCGTCCTCCGCATAAGCTGTGCCCGCATGCTGGGTGCCCGAGCTCCGGCCGGCGCCTGCTGGGGGTGACACCTCCTGGCTGGGAGCCCTGCGGGCTAGCAGCCACTTTATGCCCGCCAGGGCGATTGGCCAACACCTCGTGAGGTGGGTGGGGAGCGGAGGGGGGGGAGGGGCAGGCCTTCTGGGAACATGACCCCAAAAACCAAAGTTTCCACGGGCGGCCAATGGGCGCTGGGTGCGGTGGCATGCCTGCTCCTCCTCCTGTTTTCTTCGAATTCGTTCTTCGAGGTCAGCCCCACGCCCAAGGATGATGCAAACCGCAGCCCCAGCCTTCCTGGGGCGAGTAGGGAACATGGGGGTCCGAGCCATGTGCAGGGAGCTGTGCCCAGGATAGAGGGGAGAGTGTGCCAACTGGGGCCTCAGAGGGCCCGCAGGCCCAGGAGCCATCAGCCTCAGCAGCCACTGTGGTTTGGGACTGAGGGGAGCGAGACATCTTCCTTCTTGAGTGCCCTTCCCGCCCTCCTGCTGGGGCTGTTGGGACATCTGTGAGCGGAAACCACCGGGCTCTGGGCACAGAGCCAGACCCAGGCTGGCAGCCCCGAGATTGTGGTTCTGGCCCCAGGACCTGCATCCTCCAGTGGGGCTCCCAGCCATCTCCTTTCTCCCATCATGCAAACCCCTTGCAACAAACCTTCTTTATCCCAGGCCCATTGCCCACACCTAGTCCCTTTCTTTACAGACAGGGTCTTCTGGGGGAAAACAGGTGCTTAAAGCAAGAGAAACAGGAGGTTAGGGCTCAAGCGGGCTGACATACTGTGTGACCAGAGGCAAGTCATTTAACCTCTCTGGGCCTCAGAGGCCCCACCTGTAAAAGGAGGGTTCAAACAGTATTTCCTGGCTCAGGCTCACAGAGCTGCTGCTGTCATGGACATAAAAGGCAAAAGTCCTTTGAAGGAAAAAAGAAAGCTGAAAGTCTAATTCCAAGTACTAGCTGTTGAGGGATGGTGTGGGGGGCGGAGGAGATGGGGAAGCTGTGAGCTCAGAGGGGAAGCCAGGGTGGGGGAGTCGCCGTGGTGACGGTTGGGGACCAGGTTTCACTTTCTCTGAAAGATAGTGATTGTGGGTTGGTCCTCAGCTTCTCGCAGACCTCTGGACGTCAGAGTGAAGGAACCCTGGAGACCACGCCTCTCTAGTCTACCTGTTACTTTGCCTAGGGTGAAGGAGGCCTGGGCTAGGGCAGACAAGGGGGCGGAAATGCTGGCTCAGGCCTGCAGGTCATGCCTGGCACCCGCAGCATATCTACCAGGCCCGGAAGGGGGTCTGTGGCCCGCACCCTCAGGAGCCCGGTGGGGAGGGGGGCCTCGGAAGGCTGGGAACCAGGGTGGGGCCTCTGGAATCTGCCAGGGAGGCCTGGGCTGCTCCAGCTGGGGAGAGCATTGGGCCCGTGGAGGCTGAACAAGGAGAGCTGGGGTGGCCAGGAAGGAAGAGGATCGGACACCCTCCTGTCCATCCATGTCCCCAGCACCCATCATGACCACCAAGGCTATTCCTACCTGTTCTCTCCTCTGTATATACACTTAACATCACTCATTTACCCATTCAAAAAACTTTTATTTGGCCCTTCTCTGAGCCAGCCATTCCCAAGTGCTAAGGATCCAGTAGTGGGTAAAACCAGACACACCTCCACGCCCAGGAGGCTGTTCGTCACCCCCCACCCACTCCCTGGCACCCCAGCATGGTGCTTACCACACCCACCAGTGCCACCCCCAAAGGCCAGTTCTGGATTCTCCTCCTGAGAACGTTGCTTCTGCTAAATTCCTCATCTCTGTGCCCACCCCCGCAAGACTATTTCCTGGGGCCCAAGCCAAGCTGGGATCCTTCTTCATTTCACATCCCTGATCTCATCTTGCAACAGCCCTGAGAGGGAGAGCACCCAGGCAGGGATGCTTTGGCTCCTTTTAATGAGGAAACTGAGAAGCTCGGGGCCTGGCTCCAAGCAGGAGAGCCACATCCAGCAGGAGAGCCTTTGCCCCTCTCAGCTACTGCAGACCAACCTCCACACTCGGGGGAGAGCTACATGCCTTTACTTTCCCGTCCCCGTGTCACCCTGTGTGGGAATAGTTAAAAGGAGGCGACATTCAGCGGCACCTGGGTGGCTCAGTCAGTTAAGCGTCCAACTTTGGTTCAGGTCATGATCCCGCAGTTTGTGGGCTCGAGCCTTGCCTCAGGCTCTCACTGACAGCTGAGTTGGCTTCGGATTCTCTCTCTCTCTGCCCCTCAACTTGCTCACGTGTGCTCTCCCTCTCTCTCTCTCTAAAAAAATAAACAAATAAACTTAAAAAAAAAAAAAAGAAAAAAGAGGAGGGGGCATTCAAACCAGGGCTGTCAAGTCTAAAAGACGACGCTCTGAGCACGTAGCTAACCGAGGTTCAGTGTGCAGGCCCCAGGGACAAAGGCCACCAAAGGCAAAGGGGGCTTCTATATTAGTTTGCGTGGACTGCTGTAACAAAGCACAGATGGCAGGACATAAACAATAGGAAGGCATGTTGGCGCCGTCCTAAGTCTTGAGACCCAGGTGTCAGCAGGGTGGATTTCATCTGGCAGCCTCTCTCCTTGACTTGTAGATGGCTGCCTTCTCATCTCCTCACATGGTTGGCCCTCTGTCTATCCTAATCTCCTCTTCTTATACGGACACCGGTCATATTGTATTAGCCCCACCCTCCCACAATGACCTCATTATACCTTACCTCTTTGAAGGTCCTATCTCCAAATACAGCCACATTCTGAGGTACAGTGGGGTTAGGTCTTTAACATATAAACTTAAGGGATAAAATTCAGCCTATAACAGCTCGCAAGTGGAGGGCATGGCTGGAGGGCTGCAGGGAGTGGGGACGATGGGGGAGTGTCCAGAGCTCGGTGGGAGGAGACAGTGATGTGTAGGAGGACAGGGAGTGGCCCCAAGGTGAGGAGACCCGGCTGGTCAACAGAGCAAAGCGTGAGGGGAAGATGCGTCAGCGTTTCTGGTGAGGTCAGCACCCAGTGACGTCCCTCTCGCCAGCAGGAAAAGCTTGCAACATGGCCCAGCCAGTATAAATAGGCTCCCCGACCACAGGCCCGGGCTGTCCCCTCTTCCCGGGCCACGTCAGCTAGATCCGCGTGATTTGGAGGGGGAAAGAGGACCAGCTTTGTTCCTTAGAACTGCTGTTTCCATGTCTTTCCGGCCCACCCTCCGGCTGTGGGGCTCTACTGCTTTAAATGCAAGAAAAAGACCTGGGGTGACCTTTGTGAGTGGGTCAAAATGGAAGGCAGGAGGCCATTCATCTGGGAAGAGAGACAGTGATCTCTGACCTGTTAGGGTGGGAGGTGGAGATCCATCCAGTTACCGGTCTCAATTTGCTTATGAGCTCAGTGTTCTTGGCCCAGTCACATCCCCTTTCTGAGCCTCGGTTTCCCCTGTGGACTGCAGTGCCACAATTTAACAATCAAGAGACAACCCAATTTTAAAACGGGCAAAGGAGAAATGAATAGGTATTTCTTCAAAACAGACAGACAAATGGCCAATAAATACATAAAAAGCTGCTCATCATCGTTAGCCATCAGGAAAATGCAAAATCAAACCTGCAATGAGACACCTCTTCATATCCACTAGGTGGCTACAATCAAAGACAGACAATAACAACTACTGGAGAGGACACGGAGAAACCCAAAACCCTCACAGGCTGCTGGTGGGAATGCAAAATGGTGCAGCCGCTTCGGAAGGCTGTCTGGCAGAACCTCAAACCGTTAAACATTAAGAGGTGTCATACACCGAACTATTTCATGCCTACATACACACCCCAGAGACTTGAAAGCATACATTCACACAAGAACTTGCACACAAATATTTATAGCAGCATTTATTCACAATAGCCCCAAAGTGGAAGCAATCCAAATGTCCATCAGCAGAAAACAGGTTTTTAAACTGTGGTATATCCATACAATGGAATATTATTCAGCCACAAAAGGAATGAAGTACAGACACATGCTACAATGTGGATGAGCCTCAAAAACCTTATACTAAGTAAAAGAAACCAGTCACAAAAGGTTGCTGGATGATTCCATTTATATGAAATGTCCAGAATAGGTTAATTCATAGAGACAGAAAGCACCTGAGTGCTCCCCAGTGCCTGGAGAGATCTAAGGATAAGGAGTGACAGCTAATGGGTATGGGGTTTCTTTTGGGGTGATGAAATGTTTTTGAATTAAATAGTGGTGATGGTTGTACAATCTTCTGAATATACTAAAACCCACCGAATTTTTTACTTTAAAATGGTGAAGTTGATAATATACATATCTTGTATCTCTATTTTTTTAAAAATGCAGTGGTAAGTGCTGTCTCAAGAGGACAGTGAGGGTAATTTGGTGGATAATGCGTGCAAATGCCTAGCTCATAGCAAGTGCTCGAAAAATACCCGCCAGCCACTGGGGCAGACAGAGGCGTACATTTGCTTATGTCATAGCATGGCTTTGAGGACGATTGGGAAAGACAACATTACATAAACCCTGGGGTGAGCAAGTATCTACCAGGGCCCTCCCCATGAGGCCAGCGAGGTCACCCTGGGCTGGAGGATCCTTTGGCTTGAGATGTGCCACAGAATTCTTCTGGGACCTGGTGTGTCCACAGTGTGGGAGGCCTCTGTGTGTCCAGCGGCTCCCCCAAATTGGGTAACTGAGCCCCCTTCCAGAGGCCTGAACCTTCAGAGAAATGCAGCATAGAGATAGGGATAGAAGGACTCACTTCTGTTCAGGAGGCTCACTGTCTTCGGCAGTGGGGCGGGGGGCAGGGGACAAGCATCTACTCTGAGATGGGATGACCAGGAGATAAGAGCGCTGCCCTGCTATCTTCTCTCTGGCTGGCCTAGAACAACCACCCCCCTCACCATCCCCTCTGAGCCCAGGGTCCTCTCTGAGAGATGAGGGGATGGGCGAGATGAACACAGAGGGCCTAGAACCCTACAGGCTCTAAGCACTGAGATATCACTGTAAATAAAAATAACCTTAACCATCAAACAAGGATCACGAAGTCCAATGGAGTCCTGACTTTTCTCATGCTGGCAACATACAACGCCTATTTTGAAACATCACATTCTTGCCAAAAATGTTTTGGTGCCCAGGCACGTGCCATTTGCCCACTGGTAATAATCAGACGTTTCTGGAGCTCTTCTGTGGGCTGCACCCAGTTCTGAGCACTTCCTCCTACAGGCTGGCTCTGTGAATTCTCCCAACCATCCTCACAGAGATCATTGTGTCTATCCTGTAGATGGGGAAACTGAGGCCTGAGAGATGAGGTATTTGACGGGAGGTCACACAGGTGGGAGGGAGCAAAGGCAAGTTGGGCTCCAGGCAGCTGTCCTAGGTCCACACGATTGGCCAGCACACCATACACGCAGTGGCTTGCCCAGAACTCATGCAGCCACATGGCTCAACAAACTTGAAAACAAGTGGTTTTCACAGTGGGAAGATGGATATCCACTTGGTCAAGGACCAGCCAGGGAGTAATTGGGTGAGGAGGTCGGTATTTCTACAGGTCTGGGATGGAAGAGGGGGGCGGGGAATGCCAGTTTTACTGGCAAAAATGCAGGAGGGAGATGCTACAAATTCCACGTGGAGAGGACTGCATGAGGTGATATGCAAGCAAGACTGCATAGGTCTGGTTTAGAGAAAAGCAGGTGTGGCTGGAAGTCTTAGCAGAGAGGGAGGAAAGTCAGGAGGAAGGAAGTGGATCCACCCACCAAATGGCTTTACTGCCATTGCAGTCCCTCCAGGGGACTTGTACAATACAGCCTGGTGCCACCCTCTTGTTTAAAACACTCCCCTGGATTCATGCGGACGTTTGGTGAGGCCAAAGTTATTACCACAGCCACCAGGCCCTGCCCACCCCCAAGCCTCACCCATACCTTTCTAGCCCACTGCCTTCTCTGACTTTCTTCAGTCCCTCAGGGGAGCAGAGCACTCACCTCATGGCCTTTGCATATGCTGTTCCCACTGCCTGAACCTCCTCCTACTGAATGAACTGTCATCCAGACATCAAGGTCCAGTCCAAGCTTCACCTCTTCAGGAAAGCCCCCCCTGAACTTCCTCCACCCCAGGCTGGTCCCTGCCCACCCCTGACAAAATTCCGAGAGGGTGTGTGCTGTGGTTGTGGCTCCTCGTTGCCTTTCCAGAGCACAGCACAGTCCACGTCATATAGTAGGTGCTCAATAAATCTTTAGTGAATGGATGAATGCATGACCACAGATGTGGCCATCTGCAGAATCCCCAGGAAAGGTCACCTGTGGCTCCCAGGGTACAGGATCCAGATGTGTCCCTCCCATATCTAGTGCACCTGCAGCCAGGCCTCTGGAAGTTCAGGCCAACCTCACTGCTGGGCAGGAACAGGTTTTCTTGAAAGCCTTTCTCATGCCTTCTCTTGGTCATCTTTCCCCAAAGAAATCAGAATTATATCACTCACAATACACCAAAGCACATGATCCTTTTTTTAGGAAGCCTGGATTTTAAAGACGCTGACTTTTTCCTTTATGATATTTTTTTAAGTGAATTCAAAATATATTCTTTCACCCACTGCAGATTTCAACACTTTCCTGGAAAACGAACTGAAAAAGAAAAAGACAAGGCATTTCTCCTACTTCCTTTAAAGAATTCACTTCAGAATGAATTCCACATAAGCAGTACCTGACAGCCTGATAGAAAGGGGCCAGTCTTCACTAGAGGGCACAATCCTACATTTTGCAAAAAGAGACAAATCGTGGTGGCTTTTCAGTCCCTCACTCAACCTATATTTAAGTAATTCACTGTATGTATCAGGCACCAGGCTAGGTATGGGGTAGAGATCAGCAAGAAAGACTAGGCTTATAGGTAAGTGAATTTGTTGTGAATGTCTTTTTATGTCCAGGTTTTGAAGGGTGAATAAACATACAAGCCAACATCCAGCATGAGGAAGGATCTGGAAGACCCATCATCTGTCAGCCTGCTCAGTTCTCACCCCAGGCCACAGGAGGGAGCACCCAACCCTGCCTGGCCCTTCGTGGTACCTTGGAATCCATCACTACACCTATGTACTGAGCAGAACCAATCACAATCCTTTCCCAAGACTGATGTCAGACTCAGGGGACACACCTCCTTTGCATGGCCAGGGTTTCTGAGCTGGGATGTCACTGGTCTGATGCCAAGAAAGGTCACTTTCCC